TGAAACCTTACCAATATTTTAATTCAGTCTCAACAAGCAATTGATTTTAACATTCTCATATGAAAAACATATTCCTTTATCATCACAGAAATTTATACTTTATGTCCAAAGTATTCCTTACAAAAACAGTTACTAGTATTGAAACAGCGCAATCAGCCATAAACAACAAACAATGAAAATTTGAGCTTATTCGTAATGACTTCAAGATAACGAAAATCTTCATTGTCCAACTGACTTTGCCTATTCATGAACACCAATAGCCTTCAATACTGCAGAACTCACTAACAAATAGAGTAGCATAAAAGGGCACACTTCACCAAAACTATATATTATAATTTGTAACATATTTTGCATGTGCATTAAATATGTAAAACCACCTAATTACATTATCACACAACACAATTTCTAATATGGAACACATCACAAGGAATATTTTTTTAATGTAAAAATAATTACCTCTCCCTCTTCAGTCAGGGAGGACATTGTTTTTCCTCCTAACGACAAGAACGACTACTCACTTAAGCTTTAGGGAAGGATATATATAAAAATCCTTAAGAAAAGGTTTATAATTCCCTGAACCATGAAATTTATTTTCTTATTGAGAATCTTAGCTAGGAGGAAAGAACAACTTTTGCATAAGAGATCAGCAAAAATATCATCAGAAAAATGATGTTGCCATGCCCTCCCACAACACGTACCATCAATAAGGACGGAAATACAATAGAGGATTTCAAAATCATTCCTTTTTGTTACATGGGACTTTTTGAACAAGTTTTAGCATTATGCTAGGGGACGTACTCATGCTCGATATTTTCATGGTCTTTTGTCTTAAGATTCTATAAAGATTTATGTGAGGTGCCTTATTTACAAATAAAAGCTGGCCTATACATGAATACCCTAGCTTGGGACATTTTTTCACAAATCAGTATGGACCAACAAATTTTAAAACATAATATGGAAAAATTAGGTACACCATTAGCCTTACAGATTAGGATAAATTATGTCCAGCATGAAAGATAAATACACTGTCCTGATTTCCAATATTAAAGTTCTTTCAGGAAGGCATGCTTATTTGAGATTGTAAAGTTACAGAGAAGATTTTCCCGTCGCTCTTGTAACTAGTACATCTAGTATTAAGTATAGCACAGAAATGAAAAAATTGATTGAAAGAGAATCAGTACCACCCATGTTCACAATTAGGGGAATAATACATGTGAAACAACATTAAGTCAGACCATAGCATCAAACAGAATACAATATATTATTTACCTACATGGAAAAAAAAATACAACTAAATCTAATATGTCAAGTAAATACTCTCTTGTCCTTCTATTTATCTGAATATTGTTCAAGGAAGATATTGCAAATCAAGGCACTTATGCAAATATACAGAGTACCATAGTATTATGATGCTGGTAGAAATGTGAACCGGAGCCAGCTTAAGTATGATAATGGAAGCCACTCTTACTTTTCAGGCAAACTGGATTATGGCAGAGTAGAATAAATACATTGACCAAATAAAGTAATACACCAACTCAGTTCTGGACTAGATCCCTACTAAATCTAAATCTTATACTTACATATAAAACCAAAATACTCCATAACACAAAACAAGTGTTCAATACATGATTGAATTACAAATGATTAATGGTTGAAACGAATAAAGGTGCCAGGTCATATAGCACTAAGGTTAATTATTGTTGTGAAAAGGGTAAAAATAAGGATTTGGATAGTGTTAAATGTCAAAGGTTATAGGATAGTATAATAGGGAAAAGGGTAAAGAAGGGATACAAATGAAGTAAATCAGAGATTATTAAAGGAAAGGGTTAAAGGCATAGGGCAATTGGATGAAATCTGTAGCTGGGGAAGATAGAGTAAATTAAAAAAACTGTAACTTGCCATCTGTGATGTTCAATTGTTTTTTCAAGCTCATACAAAACAAAAAAGGTTTTGTGTAAACTTGTATGAGAACATCCATATGTTAAAATATTCTACTTACAGCATGAAATAATTATATACTACTTAATGTTCAATTTATTTGGCTTTGGGTACTGGATTTCACCTCTAGGGTATAGTTCCAGTACACTGAGGGTTGGACTGTATCTGAGGAAGACTGAGACAGGGAAAATGGAAAAGGAAAAAAGGAAGAAAAAAACAGGTGTGGATTACTAAACAATAGTGGGAATAAGAATACAAGCCCACTAGTCTTACATTTATTATTATTTACAAACACATATATTATATATAGACAAGAAATTATGACATATGGCAACTTTCTGTATGTCCAAAGACAATAATAATCAAAATAAATTTCAATCTAATAACAGGAACGAGGACAAAGGAGGCAAACAAACAAGAAAACATTCAAAAAATTTTGTCAAGTATGTTTAAAACTATGTTGCTTCATGCATATAAAAGTGTATTCTGCAAGGAAGTTCTGAATAAGAATCTTTATGTGTAAGAAAATTAGAAAAAAGAATAAGAAAGTCCAGTTTGCCAGTGATCCGCATCTCACTCATGTTAAAGGTTTTATGCTTCTAGTGTAGTCTTAAAGAGGCTTGGAACTGAGGCTCTGTAAACAAACCTTTATTTAGCTAGCTAGCTGTCCTTTTTAGCTTTCTGTACCAATGTATCTTCAAACCCTTCTTTGCAATTAGTCAATATAATGATTATTGTTAGATCTATTCTACTGTGACAATGGCCATTGCTTCACTAGTCTAGAGCTTATCATCTTGAATTCCACTTTTATGCACTGCAGTCAACTTTCTGAACACCTGAAAGCTCGGATCATAAACAAAATTCAGCAGTTCATACCCTTTATCACCTCCACCTACATTCACACATACATACACACATATACTGTATGCAAGCATCATTTAGGTACAATGAAGCACAGCTGCAGCTCTGCATGCACACATGATACATAAAAGTTTTCTGAATTCTTAATATTAATGCAATTCAATTGCTTCTGAGCACATCCATGAGTGTGATTATCTTTATGGGCCTGGGTATGCCTAGGATACCATGCCTTGATTTACAATGTAATTTCCTCCCCTGCAATCTCTTTTGTTTCTTTCAATGCCCTCCTTTTCTTTTGAATCTCCTCCCTTCTCTTTTCAACCCTTCCTTTGTATGGTTTATTTCAATGGAGACTCATTTTAAGTCATAATAGTATATCCTTGCTCCTCTCTAAATAACAGTCAATCTTAGGAGGTCCATTAAGATTTACAGATAAGCCCTCCCTATGCCTTTATTCTTAGATATAAATTCTTTCATCCAAATTTATTATTCCACTCTATATTTAAGTACCTGTATATTCATAAAGTCAAAGTCAAGTTATTATTTTTTGCTCGCAGTTCTTAATTATTAGTTCGAAGGCAGGCTAAGGCTTCTTCTAGTTCCTTGTCCTCTGTTTTCTTATTCGCACTTCTCTCACCTAAGGAACTTGCATGTGTTGCTGGTAGACCGGCAACCTGTAAATCAAAACATCAAAATGAAATATGTAAATAACACCTTTCCCAAACTCGACTGACAAACCAAATATGAAAAAAATATATCCCTTTCCACATCCCAGGCAACTGTATACCATCTTTTAACTCAAGTGACTTAGATTTCCCATCCTGTGCAGTGACCAAGTGGTAGCAATTATTTTTTCTTTTTACTTTCTCTTTCTTACATTTCTCTCTCTCTCTTTCTCTCTCTCTCTCTCTCTCTCTCTCTCTCTCTCTCTCTCTCTCTCTCTCTCTCTCTTCTCTCTCTCTCTCTCTCTCTCTCTCTCTTCTCTTCTCTCCCATCTCTCTCTCATCTCTCTCTCTCTCTCATCTCTCTCTCATTTACTCCCCATCTCTCTCTCTCATTTACTCCCATCTCTCTCTCATTTACTCCCATCTCTCTCTCTCATTTACTCCCCATCTCTCTCTTCATTTACTCCTCTCCTCTCTCATTTACTCCCATCTCTCTCTCTCATTTACTCCCCATTCTCTCTCTCATTTACTCCCCATCTCCTCTCTTCATTTACTCCCCATCTCTCTCTCTCATCATTCTCTCTCTCTCCCTCATCTCTCCCATCATTTACTCCATCTCTCTCTCTCATTTACTCCTCATCTCTTCTCTCTCATTTACTCCCATCTCTCTCTCTCATTTACTCCCATCTTCTCTCTCTCATTTACTCCCCGTCTCTCTCTCTCATTTACTCCCATCTCTCTCTCTCTCTCATTTACTCCCGTCTCTCTCTCTCATTTCTCCCCGTCTCTCTCTCTTCATTTACTCCCCTCTCTCTCATTTACTCCCCTCTCTCTCTCATTTACTCCCTCTCTCTCTCATTTACTCCCCATCTCTCTCTCTCATTTCTCTCTCACTTTCTCTCTCTCTCTCCATCTCTCTTCATCTCTCATCTCTCTCTCTTATTTACTCTCCATCTCTCTCTCTCTCCCATATTTATCTCTCTCTCCTCTCTCTTATCTCTCTCTCCATCTCTCTCTTCTCATTTACTCCCCATCTCTCTCTCATCAATTTACTCCCCTCTCTCTCCCCTCTCTCTCATTTACTCCCATCTCTCTCTCTCATTTACTCCCCCTCATCTCTCTCTCTCTCTCATTTACTCCCCATCTCTCTCTCTCATTTACTCCCCTCTCTCTCTCTCTCATTTCTCTCTCTCTCTCATCTCTCCCGTCTCTCTCTCTATCTCTAATCTCTCTTCTCATTTATCTTCTCTATTTACTTCCTCTCTCTCATTTACTTCCATCTCTCTCTCTTATTTCTTCATCTTCTCTACTACCCACTTCTAACTCCCACTTAACCCATTTCTCACTCCCACTTACATGCTTTCACTCCCATTTACCACCCTGAAACAACATACCCAATTACTCCCTCTCTCCCTTTCTAATTCTCTCTTACTCCCTCTCTCACTATCACTCCCTCTCACAATCACACTTACTCCCTTTCTCACTCTCACTTACTTCCTCTCTCCATCCTTCCTCATTCTGCTTCTGCAATAGAAACTATCAATCAACACAAAGAGATTTTACCTTTGCTCCTATTTCAATGCCAATTTCATCCAAAACCTGGTTCACAATGTCATCGGCTTCTTCTTCATCACCACTTTCCGTCAGGATGTCATCCAGTGCCGAGTCCACTGAAATGATAAGGATTATATGTGAAAAAATCACAGACAAAAAATAAAATTCCCACATCCATACATGGATGTAAATGCATATGTTCAGATATAAATGTAAATTTATGTATATTGATTTGTATTTGTATTTGTATCTGCAAATGTATATGTATATTTATATATATGTGAATACATTTGAGTTTGTGAATGTATATAAGTATGTGCATGTGTATGCACATCCATATGTATATGTGTATGCATATGTACTGTTTGTGTAAATGTGTGTATATGAATATATATACAAATATAAAGACAAAGACAAAAGATAAAGATAAGATAAAGATACATATAAAGATAAACATGAACAAGAACATAACCATATTTTAAAGATATGTACATATATAAACATATATATGTACATATATATATATATATACATATAAACAGAAAACAGTGGAAATTAGAAGGAAATATACAAATGCATTGGGCATTGTCTACATTTGTTTAGGTAATTCTTTTTTCTTTTTCAACATTCATTACATACTGAATGTCAACCATGTTTGAACACACACACACAGCAATTTAGTCTGAATAATGAAGGTCATCTACTTTATGTATATATCTTTCTTCTTTTTAGTTTCTGCCATCTATGAATCCATTAATGTCACATTCTCTTTTTTTAACAGTTTCCACATTCTGTGAGTATGTGTATTCTAGAACTCTATGTTTCATTATAGTCAGTGTTTAATACCAAGTTAATTACCCTAGTATGCAAAACCCTATATCAGCTTATCCCAGTTCTACCTACCCTGCTTTAATCTTTCCCAGTGTGAGGTACCCCGAGTCGGCCTATCCCAGTATAAGAATCGCGCTGGGCATCAAACCCTCTAATTGATCCATATTCTCCATACATGAAAAAGAAACAGGCTTTGACACTAACACAAATATAAACAAGTAATAACTCACTTAGCTCTTCTGTCATCTCAAACTTGGCTGAAGCTTGTTCAAAGTCCTTTAACTTTTTAGAAAGATCTTGAGGATTTACAAGCTGATTCATGTTCTTCATGGTTGCAGTAGTGGCACCCATGGCATTGGCTAGTTTCATGTTAGACTGCATTGACGTCTGCTGTGCCTGCACTCCCTTTATCTGTAAAATGTTAAAAAGGGTGTTAATGAGAAAGTGAGGAGAGAAAAGTAGAGAGGGAGAGAGTGAGGAGAGAAAGAAAGAGAGGGAGAGAGTGAGGAGAGAAAGAAAGAGAGGGAGAGAGTGAGGAGAGAAAAAAAAGAGAGGGAGAAGGTGGGGAAAGAAAGAAGGAGAGTGAGAGAGTAGGGAGAGAGTGAGGAGAGAAAGAGAGGGAGAGAGTGAGGAGAGAAAGAGAGGGAGAGACTGAGTAGAGAAAGAAAGAGAGGGAGAAAGTGAGGAGAGGAAAAAAGAAAAGGAGAAAGTGAGGAGAGAGAGAGAGGAGAGAGGAGAGAGTGAGGAGAGAGGAGAGGAGAGACAGAGAGTGAGGAGGAGAGAGTGAGGAGAGACAGAGAGAGGAAGAGAGGAGAGAGAGAGAGAGAGAGAGAGAGGAGAGAGAGAGAGAGAGAGAGAGAGAGAGAGAGAAGAGAGAGAGAGAGAGAGAGAGAGAGAGAGAGAGAGAGAGAGAGAGAGAGAGAGAGAGAGAGAGAGAGAGATTCTTTATTCAAATGCTACATTATATCTGCAGTCAATGATAGCATGAATATATAACTAAGAACTTTCTGCAATAATGATATGCATTTTTTTAATAATAAAAAACAAAAGAGATTATTTCAGGAAAAAATCCAATTTGCAAAGTTGGAAGTAATACTTTACATAAGCTACATAAAAAGATTTTAAAAGGGTATATATTAACACCTTGCACTACATCTCCAGACACTTTCTAATACAATGTACTGTATGCTATCAAATGGTGCAAGGTATGATGATCAAGGAAGAAACGTATTTCAGTTCACCAACTTACCCTGCTATCTGCTGTGTATGTTCTAGCCTTCTGCTTCCTTACTTGAACTAACTGTTTGGCTAACACACCTAATGCCTCTTTGTTTTTAGCGGGTGTTTTTGCCAACTTCTTAATTTCGAGCTCAAGCTGTTTCTCTTGCCTCTCTAAGTCTCGCCGATTCCGCTGAATGTCCCTCCCGGCTTGATTTAACTGCCTTTTGTTTGCTTTCATCTGTGCTGTTGAAACAAAGATAAATTATTTTACATTTCTTTTATATATTACTAGATCACTTACCACTGACATTTTTTACTTTACTTTCATTAAAGAAAAATAATTGGGATATAAGTGCCAAGTTTATACGAATATTAAGCTGAATAAAATCTGAATTTTGATTTCTCATACGCTCTCGCATGTAGAAAAAAAATCAATACATTCGTAATAATTTTCATACTCACACAATTGTTATTATTTTGAATTAAAGATTTAACCAAAAAATCTTTCAAAGACAATTTTTTTCTTAATCAGCCAACTGTAAAAACTGACCAAAATGGAGCCTAAATATATGTGAAAAAACTACATATTCAAAGAGATACATTTCAAAAATAAAGCAATGAATAACAGAAAAAATATTAAATTCTGAAAAAAGAAAATACTTCAAAGTATCACATTATCTATCTGTAATTCTACTGGCCTAAAACAGGGTCAGGGGTCAGAAAGCAATGAACTTGCAAAATGTAGAAAGCTTCCAGTTTTCACAGAATTTTTGAATTTTCAATATTTACAAATGCAAATCTTTTAACAGAAATGCAGGTCATTCATAATTTTTCATAGTCATCATCAATGGGGCTGATCCATTTTCCCAGCCATGTGGGTCTTTCTAGCAAGCTGCCAGTTAGGTACTCGAAACATCTCTAAATTCACGATAGATCTGATCTATCTGTCCAAACCATGACATCCAAGGGTTTCCCACAGGCCTCCACCACCCAGAGTTGTCTCAGGAGTAGACCTAGACAATCAGGTGGGCTGGCTATCTACCAGTAAACCCCAAGTTGGGTCCCAGACTGTGCAAGTAACTGCTGGTTAGATGCATGGTCCTGCCAACTATACCCCATGACCCAGTGAAAGGACCTGTTGCAAAAGGCATGAAGACAAAGCTCCAAGGCACAGGATAGCATCTAAGTTTCATTTCTGTAAGGCAAAACTGGCAGTATCAGGGCCTTGAAGACACAGCTTGGTCCTTCTGCACAGGTACCAGCATCTCCAAACTCTAGTCAGCTGAGTTTATGGCATCTGTTGCCAGGCTAGTCAGTCTACTGACTTCCTGGTCTGACAGACAGGCATTTTCTATCACTTTTACTTTCTTTTAAATGCTTAAATTGTCTTTAAGAAATGAAAAATGATAAAGCCACACACCTACAGAACCTAAACTGTTATTCTGAACAAAACCAAAAGGCTCTGCAGCTACCATATTTCAAGGAAAAAATATAACAAAATTGGTTTGCCCCGTAAATATTCATATACTAGGTAAAGTAATTCAACCATTTTTACCTTTTTTTCTTTTTGCTTGTTTAGTACCTACTTATTTTGAATTATTCCAAAAACAATAGAGTTGAAATTGAAAATTGTCAGGATTGTTTATCTGAATACAAATATGATGGTTGGTGTATATATATAGGCCTTACTAGAAAAATATCCACCTGTGAGGGATAAATATCACTAAACTAAATTTGCCTCGAAATTCACTTGATCATCTACATTCTATCTTTTTTTACTTTGTTTTTGTACGTGTAGTGTAATATCACTATTTTTTGGAGGGAGTAACTAAATGTGGGGCTGAGGCCAATATTTCCTGTGTACCAAATATATAATGCAGTTGTAATATAAGAAAATTGGAAATGATGATTCAGCTTCAATAACATACCAAGAAAGTGATGTTATTTTAGTAATATTTACTTGAGTTTTCTGTAAAGCTGATTTGCCATAATAAAATGGAAATTTTTAAAAAATGTATCTATCACGTCGTGTTTTTTTCCCATTTACCAGTAATTATGAGGACTCTGAATATTAAAATTTGTTCTATCCCACTCGATTTCTTCTGCTCTATAAGATGGTGGTGTCCATTTTGCTCTATCTACGCACGTTGGTCTCTTCAACCTCAACCAATAATTCTTTGTGGTCATTTTACTGAATTTAGCTCACGAGGTAGTGGTTTGTGTCATATCTTTTTAGTATCAAGATACACACAACATATAAAGTAATGTAAATATGTAAGCAGCTATTCTAAAGTTAACAAGCATTCAGTTGTTCATAGTTTCGAATACTCTTCAACCTTAATATCAGCAGGGGAAATTCTTTGGATGTATTAATCTACCTTAACTCAATTATGAATATACCGAACTAAATTTCCTCCTGTCCACCAAGTTTAATAGTGGATAATACACATTCCTTCCACATGTAACCACAATATTACCTTTCTCTGCTTCCTCCGTTTTTTGCACAATGAGCCAAGTTGAGCTGAGCCTAGCATATCCAAGCCTTGCCTCGAACAGCCTGACATACCCTAGCCCTAAATATCGTAATGCTTTAAAACACATGCTTGCCTTTGGTAAAATTATTCAACGATAGGAAATACAGAAAAAGGTCTGGCGTTGAAACCCAAAGCACAGTTTCCTACATCAAAGGAATTTAAAAAGGGGTAAATTTTTACTAGTGGTACTCAACAACTAGGGTTTACTTATCTCTTGGAAAAACACTGAAATTTGTTTATTACCTTCTGCTGTTGGCTTCTTGCCGAGGAGACTGAAGGTTTTATGGCCACTCATTGTCACTCGATTATGTCTCACGAATTCCCTTCAAGAAATATCTGAAAGTGAAAACGCCTGACTTTAGCGAAAAGTTTTTTTTTCCTACAAAGTTGCCAAAAGCTATAACAACTTCTCCTTTCTTACTTGCATTCCTCACAACTTACACACAAATATATCCTTATCACAGTCATTTCCATTGATAATTTGGATTTACGAGCGATAACACAGGACTTCACTCCTTACCTTTTACGCGTGAATCACTGGTGTGTGATTGCTCGTAGATTACCTCATGTTTGCCTGTGACGTATAGAGTGTGTGTGTTTGTGTGTACGTGTGGAATGTTTGGGTCACAGAATATGCGAGTGTATTAGTCTGTTTATTGAGTGCATGGATTTGTACATGTGCGTCAAGGATTAGAGAATATTATGTTAGATAACTTGAGATCTACGGACTTTCATAAATCTTCAGATGAACACCTACAAGACGAGATTTGTTCATTATTACGATTACAAATAAAATGCCTGCCTTTACTAGCATTGTAAAAACGGAAGCTCAAATAGCTCAAATGTGTTGTTATTGGTATTCATATACATTTTTCAGACCACACTCTCGTCGGAATGTCAATGATTAATTGCGTAGGTAGAATCACAGAACATGCGACTCAAAAATCTTTTAATCATAAAATTATTTTATTTAACCCACTCATCGTTTTAAGTATGTCCATGCATACATATATAGAGATATCTGTATACATAGATAGATAGATATACATCTATATTTATAGATGTATATGATCCCTTAAAGAAAAGAAAAAAAAAGGAAAAAAAAAAAAGAATTATTATACTATAGTACACCCTTCAAAATCTTTTCATTTTCTGTCAAAAAGTAAAAAATACCCAAAGAAAATGTTGAAGGTATTGGGTATACCTCAAAAAATAATCCTTGAATTTTGTAAATGTTTATTAATCTTGTCAAGTACTTCCTTTTTTCGTGTGTGTGTGTGTGTGTGTGTGTGTGTGTGTGTGTGTGTGTGTGTGTGTGTGTGTGGTGTGTGTGTGTGTGTGTGGTGTGTGTGTTTGTGTGTGTATGTATGTATGTGTGTGTATGTGTGTATGTGTGTGTGTATGTATGTGTGTGTGGTGTGTGTGTGTGTGTGTGTGTGTGTGTGTGTGTGTGTGTGTGTGTGTGTGTGTGTGTGTGTGTGTGTGTGTGTGTGTGTGTGTGTGTGTGTGCAATTTACCTTTCTGCAGAATATCAACACACAAGCATGTATATCACATGTTCTTCCGCGTTGTTTCTTGAATGATTTTTTCATATATCCAAAAGAACAAGTTTATGACCTCATTGATGTGCATATTGCACGCTTGATCTTTTTTTTTTTTTTTTTTTTTTTTTAGTGCATAAAGACCAGTGCTGCGCGTGAAGCGTTTGATTCGTGCTCGAACTCCGTCTGCTAAATACGTTCTTCATGCGAAGGTATCCTTTAAAAAAGGCATATGTCATTTCGCTGTAAGTCATAAACATGCTGCGCTTCGACCGATAAAATATGATATAGGAAGAATAAGCCACGATTCTTTGTCTGCAGGCGTAAAGAAATATTAGGAGTTCAGTATTTACATTAGGCTTGCATACTCATTACCGTGTATCTTCGCAAACGTATTTTTACCAAAAAGTGAAAAAAGTCATGAAACTATAGTAAATACACATATATGGAATTTTTAAAGCATATAATGTACTCTCCAATTTTTATTCACAACACTATTATAACGATCAGAGGCGTTTGATTAAATATATTAAGACATTCTATCTTTCTGTTGTGTTCTTGCTGGCTCCATTCGCTGCCGGTGAATTTTCTTTTATTCAACGGTAAAGGAATTTTAACTTCCTTTAACGTGCATACAGAAAATATTCAAAATCATTTCCGAACTTCTGTTGAACTGGAATACAGTTGTCCATGAATTATTTGCAAGATTGATGATAATTCTAAAATATCCTATAGAGTTTAACGTAGTATTCCATTCTGTGCATGATGAGAAATGAAATTCAATCTTTCATTGTAGTTCTTTTGTAAAGTTGTATTTTTTAAGCACCATTATCGCCACTAAAACTATGAGTTGGTCTCTTAGCAAATTTTGTTTATTGAAATCATTAGTTTTTTAACAGAGCTGATAATTTTTTGGAGAAGACCGATATGATTTGTATGTCATGCTGTCCTTTGGCTTTATAGCACTTTTCCAGCCTAGAGAATTATAGTGGACTCTCTCTCTCTCTATCTATCTATCTATCTATCTATTTATCTATCTCTCTATCTATCTTGATATCTCTCTTTCTCACTCTCTCTCTCTCTCTCTCCCTCTCTCTCGCTTTCGATCTTGTTCCGTCCCACTCTCTCTCTCTCTATCTATCTCTATCTATCTATCTATCTATCTCTCTCTCTCTCTCTCTCTCTCTCTCTCTCTCTCTCTCTCTCTCTCTCTCTCTCTCTCTCCTCTCTCTCTCTCTCTCTCTCTCTCTCTCTCTCTCTCTCTCTCTCTCTCTTCTCTCTCTCTCTCCCTCCCTCCCTCTCTTCTCTCCTCTTCCTCTTCTCCTCCCTCTCTCGTTCTCTCTCTCTCTCTCTCTCTCTCTCTCTCTCTCTCTCTCTCTCTCTCTCTCTTCTCTCTCTCTCTCTCTCTCTCTCTCTCTCTCTGCCTCTCTCTCTCTCTCTCTCTCTCTCTCTCTCTCTCTTCTCTCTCTCTCTCTCTCTCTATCTCTCCCTCCCTCCCTCTCTTCCTCCCTCCCTTCCTTCTTTCCCTCCCTCCCCTCTCTCTCTCTTCTCTCTCTCTCTCTCTCTCTCTCTCTCTCTCTCTCTCTCTCTCTCTCTCTCTTCTCTCTCTCTCTCTCTCTCTCTCTCTCTCTCTCTCTCTCTCTCTCACTATTTGTCTCTATATCTGTCTATCTATCGATCTCTCTTTCTCGTTCTGGCTATGCTGGGTATATATGAACTTACAATTAATTCTCTGTTTCTATTTATCTTCATTCTTCATTGTTTCTACTTATCTTTATTCTTCTTTGTTTCTATTTATCTTCATTCTTCGTCTTTTTCATAATTTCTCGTGCTAGGAATTCGTAGTTAAAATAATCTCTTTTTTCAAGATTTTCTCTTCGTACTTCCAATTGCCTGCGTTTTATCACGGGCGCAAATGCATATTTCATTCGATTCCCAGATAATTAAAGACTTTCAGAGGAGTGCATCTTCGTTAAAAAAAATGAAGATATGTTTGTTCATTTTATTTTCTTTCTTTTTCTTTTCTTTTTTCTTTTTCTTTTATAAAAGAAGTAGAAAACGCATGAGTGATGTCTTTGTTCAAGTGCTCAGTCGGCAATTTTTTAGTGCGCATGTTCACTCTCGTTAGGAAATTCTCTTTGCTTCTGAAATATGTGATGCTAATGCAACAGGAACAACGAAAGGGAAAAGCAAGAAAACACACCAATATGCATATTCGTGTGTTTTACTGCTCTTCCTGTTGCAATTTGTTCGACATGCTAAGATTATAACGTGTAAAAGTTAGAAAATGTAAAAGGATTTTTTTTTTTTTTTTTTTTTTTAGTTTAGTTTAGTTTAGTTTTTTTTTTTCTTTTTTTAGTTTAGTTTATAGGACTTTCAGTTAAACTGAGGGACGAAAAATGGAAGAAAAGACAAAGTACAAGATCCCTCTCACTCTCTTTCTTTCGCTCTCTCTCTCTTTCACTATGTTACTCTCTTTCTCCCCCTCTGTCAGGGTTTTGTGTTTTGCCCTGATTTGGTGAGTTATGGAGACACAATTCTGGTTCGGCGTGGCGCGGGCTGTCTCGCGCAGTGCAGTTGTGGGCAAAGGGAGCCCAGGGGCGCGCCGACCTGTAACGCGCGTGTGGGGAGACTCCCCAGGGGGACGTCTGGTCAGGGCCGAGAGCCCTGGTCAAGTGTGCTGCCCTCGGTCAAGTCTCGAAGCATTCAAGAATAGGGTCGGTCCTATCGCTGTGGGACGTGGCTAGATACCTCGTTCCTCAGACCCTCTCTCCCCCCCTCTCCCCCTCTTTCTCTCTCTCTCTCCCTCTCTTCCTCTCCCTCTCTCCCTCCTTCTCCCTCCCTCCTTCCCCCCCTCTTCTCTCTCTCTCTCTCTCTCTCTCTCTCTCTCTCTTTCTCTCTTCTTCTCTCTCTCTCTCTCTTCTCTCTCTATCTCTTTCTCTCTTTCTCTCCTCTCTCTCTTCTCTCTCTCTCTCTCTCTCTCTCTCTCTCTCTCTCTCTCTCTCTCTCTCTCTCTCTCTCTCTCTCTCTCTCTCACTCCTCTCCCTCCCTCTCTCTCTCTCTCACTCCCCCTCCCTCTCTCCCTCTATTCCTGCTCCTTCTCTCTCCTCTCTCCCCCTCTCTCTCTCTCTCTCCTCTCTCTCTCTCTTCTCTCTCTCTCTCTCTCTCTCTCTCTCTCTCTTCTCTCTCTCTCTCTCTCTCTTCTCTCTCCCTCTCCCTCTCCCTCTCCCTCTCCCCTTCCCTCTCCCTCTCCCTCTCTCTCTCTCTCGCCATCTGAGTGAACGCAATAAATCAAATATATTCAATAAGTTTCACATAAATACCTCTGTTTGGTGTGGATTAAGGATCGTGTTTCATATTTTCAAGATGAGAGAAAATTAATCCAAGCGAAGGAATATTTGTATAAAGATTTTAGTATTGTGATGTTGGACGAAACAAAAAAAAACAAAAATCTTACCAACGAAGAGAGCATTACATTCATAGAAACGTTTTTTTTTTCTAGGCCGAGGTTACACGTACGGCAGATGCGTTTGACATCTCGCGGTTAGGTGTACGGCACACATATGCGTATGCGCATACAAACGTAATTTCCGGGTAATAAGTACGAACCCAACCTAACCTAATTGAAAGTGGTATCTCTCTCTCTCTCTCTCTCTCTCTCTCTCTCTCTCTCTCTCTCTCTCTCTCTCTCTCTCTCTCTCTCTCTCTCTCTCTCTCTCTCTCTCTCTCTTCTCTCTCTCTCTCTCTCTCTCATATTTGTCTCTATATCTGTCCATCTATCTATCTCTATTTCTCGTTCTTGCTATGCTGGGTATATATGAACTTACAATTACTTCCCTGTTTCTGTTTTTAACTTCATTCTTTATTGTTTATATTTATCTTCATTCTTCGTCTTTTTCATAATTCCTCGTGCTAGGAATTCGTAGTTAAAATAATCTCTTTTTCAGGATTTTCTCTTCGTACTTCCTATTGCCCGCGTTTTATCACGGGCGCAAATGCATATTTCATTCGATTCCCAGATAATTAAAGACTTTCAGAGGGTGGATCTTCGTAAAAAAAAAATGATGTTTGTTCATTTTTTTTCTATTTTTTTCTTTTTTTTTTACAAAA